GGGAAACCACTAAACAGGACATCCAGGTATTCTAAAAGGCCAGGAAGGACAGGTGCTCCTTGCCCCATAATTCTTGGTGGTTTTCCCAACAAAACAATCATTTTCTTAGCCTGGTACCCTCAGTACCCATCTGTACCCTCAGAGTCTCCTCAGTCCCTCTCTCCATCTGAACCCTTAACTACTTACCTTACTCAACCTCCAACTCCTGCCAGACTCTGCTCTGCAGAGCATATTTTGTATGTTTCCTACCCTGTTCTTTTTGTCTCTCTGTCTTACTCTCTTGTTAGTAACTTTAACAAAAACATTATTAGGTTATTATTGTTAATGTTATATTAACAACATAGAGTGCATGAGAGAGAGGGGGGGGGGGGTGAGAATGCAAGCCGCCAGGTCCAGAACTTGAACTACAATTGGCCATGTTGGAGTCGACCGCTGTTAACTACCATGCCACCTGCTGGCTCCAAGATTTTTCTTTTTCTTTTTTTTTTTTTTTGAGAGAGATTTTTGCTATAGGGCATATGTACTTTCCAGAGAGTTAGAAAGTGAGAAATAACCCCCCCCTGGAGGAATGGCCACACTGCAGTCCTTTCTCCTCAAGTCACTTATCAGGAGTTTGGGCACCCACGTACACGTTCGTGGCCTGAGTTTTAAGCCACCAGGTCTAGAACTCGCAACTGTGTGGGAGTCCAGCAGCGAACCATAATGCCATCTGCTGGTTCCATTTTTTTTAATTACATACAATTATATTACCCTAAGGTAATTACTATTTAATATGTTAGTGTATTTTCTTCTTTTTCTGAGTTTGTTTTAATTCTTAGAAATTAAAGAAATAAAGAAAAATACAAAAAAGAAAATAGCAATCCTATATATTTCTGTAGTCCAGAACTTACTACTATTAATATATTAACTTTTTTTTTTTTTGGAGAGGTTTTTGGTATAGGGTGTGTGTGCTCGCCAGAAAGACAGAGACAGACAGGAAGATAGAAATCACCACCCCCCCAGGGGGGCTGGCCACTCAGTAATCTCTTCTCCATTCTCCTCTTGGGATCTTGGGCACACAGGCACATGTGTCTGGCGTGAGTTTAAGCCACTGGGTCCAGGACTTGAACTGCAGTCAAGTACATGGGAGTCCAGCGACATAGCCATTACACCAACTGCTGGTCTCAGTATATTAACATTTTTGTTTTCAGACTTTTCCCACCCTTGGGGGCTAGTATACTTACCCATCTGCCTCAGAAAGACAGAGAAAGGGAAAAGGAGAAGGCACCCCCTTATGGGGAGTGGTCAAGCAGCAATTCCTTTATTTTTTAATTTATTTTTTTTTTGAGAGATTTTCGCTATAGGGCGTGTGCACTTGCCAGCCAGACAGAAACATAGAGACAGAAAGCGAGAAATCACCCCCAGGGGGGATGGTCACACCACAATTCCTTCTCCATTCTCCTCTGGGTATCTTGGGCATGCATGCACACGCGCCCAGTTTGAGTTTTAAGCCACTGGGTCTGGGACGCGAACCACGGTCGACTACGTGGGAGTCCAGCAGCATAGCCATTATACCAACTGCTGGTTCCCAAGCGGCAATTCCTTTAACACCTCCCTCTCACTTCAGGATTTTGTGTACTTACACATGTTGACCCATTGTGTTTCTAACTCAAACTGTATGATCCGCTGTGTGGGAACTAATTGCCTTGACCACCGACCACCGGCTATGGAGCTGTCCCTTTTTTTTTTAGACGTTTTAATGAATATTCACTGTTAAATTAGAGTAAACTGTGAATTAAGGCCTGGGTATTCAGGACGTATTCCAGACATACTTTTTTTTTTTTTCTTTTTTTGGAGAGGTTTTTGCTATAGGGCGCATGTACTCGCTGGAAAGACAGAGCGAGACAGAGAGACAGAAAACGGGAAATCACCCCCAGGTGGAATGACCACGCCGCAATGCCTTCTCCATTCTCCTCTTGGGATCTTGGGCACGCACACACACGCCCCCAGCATGAGTTTAAGCCACTGGGTCTGGGACTCGAACCACAGTTGACTACATGAAAGTTCAGTGACATAGCCATTTTGCTAATTGCTGGTCCGTATATTTCTTTAGCAGTAGAGATTGGTAAGAGAATAGAGGAAGCTCAACTGAGCTGCTTGTAGTATTTTAAATAACTCGGGTTCTGTTTTCTGAGATGTGGTTAAATATTCTGAATTAGTGTTAATGGTCCATATGGGAAGGTTCCTGTAATTTGCCCAATTTACTGTATAATCCAAGACTTGACTTTCATCAAAGAAACTCTGATTCAACTTTACCCATTTTGCTTTTTTTAAAAAAACTTTATTTATCTTAATTTGACCAGGGAGAGACAGGGCGAGAAAGAGACAAAGAGAGACAAAGAGAGGGAAAGTGAGAAAGCAAGCCCCACCAGGTTCGGGACTTGAGCTGTAGTCGGCCATGTGGGAGTCCAGTGCCCCTAACTACCATGCCACCTGCTGGCCCTCCAATTTCACTTTAAAAAAAAAAAAAAGTTTCCCAGTATTCCCTGGGGCAAGCAGCTGAATTGCCCTGGATCACCTCACTATATTTCAAAATCTTGTTTTTGTTTTCTTTTCTACCTTACTGAATGCCTTATAGTTTTCTGAGATCTCATCTATCATACCTTTGCATAGAATGGAGACCATATTGACCTGGTAAATTATTTTTTTTTGGAGAGGTTTTTGCTATAGGGCGTGGGCGCTTGCTAGAAAGACGGAGAGAGACAGAGAGACAGAAAGCAAGAAATCACCCCCCAGGGGGGATGGCCACACTGCCGTCCTTTCTCCTCCATTCTCCTCTGGGGATCTCGGGCATGCACGCACATGCTCCCAGCGTGAGTTTAAGCCACTAGGTCCAGGACTCAAACGGCTGTCGACTACATGGGAGTTCAGTGACATAGCCATTACGCTAACTGCCAGTCCCCGACCTGGTAAACTCTCAACTTGTCCTTCAAGACTCAGCTCCTTTATTGATCACATCCTCAAGGAAGTCTTTTCCAGTCATCTCTCCTCTCTGCCCAGGCAACAGGAGGAGCCCTGAATTCCATGCTCCCGATAAACCTTATATATGCCATTGCTTAATATTTATTGCATTTTCATTTATCTTTCTGTCTTTGAGTTATTTACTATTAGGAGTTCTTTAAGGCAAGAAGAATGTCTTTTTATCTCTGAATTTGGAGGGTCTAGCTCATTACCTGACTCAGAATAGGGGAAAAAGGAAGGACGCTAAGGTTTGCTGAGAGACCAATATAAATCAACACTATTATAGATGCTTTATATGTTACTATATCTTATCTCATCTAACCTGACAATACCCCTAGGAGGTAGGTAATTCTATCTTCATTTAACAGGTGAATGAAACTTAAACTGAAAAGTAATTAATGGTAAGTGTTCATTTAAAATGTTTCTGTATTTTTGGAGAGGTTTTTGCTATAGGGCGCATGCACTCGCCAGAAAGAGAGAGAGAGACAGAGAGACAGAAAGTGAGAAATCACCTCCCGGGGGGATGGCCACACCACACAATCTCTTCTCCTCCATTCTCACCTTGGGATCTTGGGCACGCATACACATGCACCCAGTGCGAGTTCAAGCCACCAGGTCCGGGACTCGAACTGCAGTCGACCACATGGGAGTCCAGTGACATAGCAATTACGACATTTGCCGGTCCCTTAAGATGTTTCTTTAGGTCTCTCTAACTCTCAAACTTTCCATCATACTCATTAAGTACTTGTGGATGGAATGCCTGTGTCCATTTTTGGGCAGATTTGCCTTCAATAAATAATTTTAGTACACATTTGCTTGTAGGTAACGTTCTTATTTTTCCTTTCTAGAAATGGGGTTTGACCGATATAAAATGGTGGTGCAAGTAGTGATTGGAGAACAAAGAGGTGAAGGAGTATTGTGAGTAGTTCATTTTTCCTTGTTTTTATTCATCTGTTTTTTCTGAAGTATTTGTCCTCTTGACAATTCAGATAGATTGTGTCTGTGTAAGAGTGAGTGGAAAGGACAGTCACAGAATGCAGCTGTGAATTGGAGAGACCATGATATTGAACAGTAGAGTTGACAGTCTGGGTGAGCTCCAAGGAGTGACTCATTTTCATAGCATTTATGGGCTAAGTCTTTTAGGGATTATGTGTATGCTTCCGTAGATGTGTTAGGGTTCTTTGGAGAGACAGAACCAGTAAGGTATCTATGTCGATATGTAGAGGGGATTTCTTAGGAGAATTGGCTCACGTGATGGGATGGTTCTGTCCACATTAAGGGTAGATCATCCCCACCTAGTTCATGCAGATTGACATGTTAATCTCCTCTGGAAACACTCTCACAGGCATACCCAGAGTAGTGCTTTACCAGGTTTCAAGGTATTCTTTCTTTTTTTTTTTTTATTGTAGCAGTTTTTAATAAGAACGGTATATAAGATTATTTCACTCTTGCATCTTCTGGATTGTTTCTTCCTTATATTTGCCCTTTTCCTTTCCTACTTGGCGAGACTTGGCTTTCTGTCCAAGGATCTTTTTGTGGTCTTTGTCCAGCTTTAGTCTAGTGATAACCGCCGTGCTGGGGTGAATCCCCACATGGACTGTTGTGCCATTAGCCTTTTCCTGCTACATCCGCTCAATATAGATGACATATTTCTTCCTGTAAACTTGGATCACTTTGCCAATTTGCTGACCTTTATAGTGTCTTTGCACAACCTGAACTTCATTATCCTTTCAGATGGGCATAGATCACATGTTATACTTCTACCTCAGCTCTTTGGAAAGTGGGGAAGACATTATCTTCCTTTGGATGTGGAAAGGTGCATTGAAATGCCTTTTATGGTTCTTGCTTCGGTCAAAAGTCACGAAAGGATTGGGAACCAGCAGTTAGCGTAATGGCTATGTCGCTGGACTCCCACGTAGTTGACTGCGGTTCGTGTCCTGGACCCGGTGGCTTAAAACTCATGCCGGGCATGTTTGCGTGCGTGCCCAAGATCCTGAGAGGAGAATGGAGGAGAAGGGATTGCAATTGCGGTGTGGCCATCCCCCCTGGGGGGTGATTTCTCGCTTTCTGTCTCTCTGTCTCTCTCTGTCTGTCTGGCGAGCACACGCGCCCTATAGGGAAAAACCTCTCAAAGAAAAAAGTCATGAAAGGATTGAACTTCATTTTGGCCGTTGCCACTCCGGTGATGGCCGCAAAAGAGCTCAAGGTATTCTTAAGCCACTCAAGTTAATATCCCAAATGAGCCACCACAATAGATAATATGGGATTATGTAAATATTCTTTCTCTCATATTCCTTATTGCCCAGTTTTTGGCTCTATCACTCTCCTAAATTAATTTCTTTAAAATTATACAAGATCTCTTTATTAGCAACTCTAAATTCTTTTTTGGCTCTTGTTCTTGGTGTTGGCTTCTGTTTCTTAAAATTCACTCTAGCGTTTCGGCCCTGGTGTCAGTTATCTAACTTGTCCTTCTGACTGCTTATTCTTTTTCCTTTTCTGGCTCCTCTTTCTCCCTGAATCTTTAACTGTGAGCTTTCTTTAAGGCTCAATTTTTGTTCTGGTCTTCTTGGTGCTTTTTCAGTGAGCTCATTCATTCTCATGAACTCAAACTATCATTCTGGTATTGGGGAATTCAAAATCTGTCTTTCTTGTCTTTTCCTATGGCCAAGTGTTAATCCTCCATCTCCCTTTGTAAACAGTGCTGAGTATAATATTTTGTAGAAAAATACTAAAATATTTATTGAATGCATTAAAATAATTTGTAGATTTCATCAGTGAGAATTTTCACTATTGAATGTTAGATCTAGAAGGTACTGTAGATATTTTTTGGTGTTCATTTGCCTTATTCTGTAGATGACTCTTCCGAAGTTTACCTTGATTTGGCCCGAATTACGTATCTCAAAGGTCTCAGGGATTTTAATATTTCCCAGTTTTTCTTTCTGTCCCCCCCTTTGTTTTTTTGGTATATATGTGTCTTATTGACAAAGGGAATCTCTCAAATGCTGAGATACAGAAAAAGACTAAGACAGCTAGAGGCTAGACAATAAAGTCATCACACTAGGGCTGTCAAGTCTGAGAACTCTCGGAGCTGTCAATAAATTGGACATAATCTCATGGTAGAAACAACAAGCATTTGTCTTTGTGCTTCTTTAAATTGTATTTTAAGTTTTTTCAAAACAAGATCCTAAAAACATCCAGTTTCAAGTCTGCCCCAGGCTTGGTCCACTCCTACAGGAGTCTTGGGGAACCTCGTGCAAGTTTGGGTTATCCGTTCACCAACATTAAAGCCCAGGATAGATGTGACAAAGCAGGGCTCCCTCCTCCGTGCCACATGCTGACTGTCAGAGAAGGCAGCAGCCAATGGGGCAAATGCT